CATTTACCAAGTGCACAGAAAATCCTAGTGACCTTCTACTGGTTGTATGCACCAAGAAGACTAATTCCAGAGGTATAGCTGTTTTTAAAAAAGAAAAAAATTCGTAGATATGTGGCAAAGACCAATGGTTCCTCTTTCTACTGTAATTGGATTATGTCTGAGACACATAGCTAGAATATATTTCCAAGTTTCTCTTGGAGTTAGGCAGGATCAAGTGACTTAGTTATCTCTATTGCAATGCAAGTATAAATTATGTGCATCATTTTGGGGCAGCAACTTTAAGAATGGATGTATGTCTCTTCACTAGTTGCTAATTTTAACCAGATTCTAGGAGACGACAGTGCCAAAAGTTGGAAGGAAACCCAGATTCTTAAATCATTTGGAGAAAAGCCACCCACTAACCACCAACGCCAGCCTGAGAAATGAGCAAGAATTAAACTTCTATTGTGTGTAAGCCATATACCTGCAGGGATTTATTTGTTATTGCAGTTTAGCCTATATATGTTTTTTTAAAGACCTAAGGAAGAATAACAGTAGGGATAAGGAAATTAGAGTAATAATTGGAAGAGACCTAAGAACTTGAGTCAAAATGAAACCATCACAAATTAGAAATGATACAATAAACCAAGGGTGGATTATCATTGTGTTAGCAGCAATGCTTAGGACCTGGTTTCTTTAGCTTACATGCCATGCTAGAGCAAATGTGATTACAGTGCTTCATTGCAGAGCTGAACTAAGAAAACATTGTAAAATACAGCATGTTGTTCTTGTTAACATAAACATAGATATTTTCTTTCCAAGCTGGTTTGCAAAACACCTAAGTATTATTTTATGTTAACCTAATAAGAATAGATACGCAAAACAAATTCATTTTCAGCAAGTGCTCATTCAGAGGTGAAGTTATTCATTCCGCTGAAATCTATACTTATCTGGAGTGATCTTCATAAGAACAGAAAATTCTAGGAAAACCTCTCTGAGTAGCCAAAGCTTACTCTCAAGTAGTGCACTTTAGTTAAGTAACGTGCCGTGACAACTGACTAGTCAGAATTTCCTTTTTTGCCTTTTTTCCTTCTCATGTCTCTCCTTGTAGCTATCGTTTCTTCCTTTTTTGTGTGTCTGCTTGCTGAGCATTTAATTGGGTGTAAATGTTAAGTGCTAAGAAGCAGAAAAATACTCGGACCTCACATATTTTCTGAAGAAAAGGAATAAAGACATTAAAACTATAATCTGGCAAAACATGAGAAAGGCAGAGAGAAAGCATTGCTTTCATAATATTTTATATAATTTGTCAAAGCAGTTGCATATGAACTTAGCAAACAGGGCAGGTGTTGGGCAGGGTGCCCATCGAGACCCACCTAATTCTGGGCTCTGATTCTATAACAAACTCACACTGCAATGTCCCTTGGAAAAAAATGACTTTAAATGATAAAAAAAAATGATTTGTTTTTTAAATTTGAAGACAGGAAAGAGAGAGACTCTGAAATTAAAAGAAAATGTGTATTTAAAAAAATAAAACTCTTCTGGGTTAGGTACCAATTTTCAGAGACACCAAAAGTAGGATGTGCAGGAGCAGGAAAATTAATAGGAAACACATATGTTAGTAAGTTTGCTACAGCAAACAAGAATAAGGCCATGCTCACCATGAGAGAATCCTAGTTTATGATAACAAAAGATAGCAGAAAAGAGAGAGATGGATATGGAAGAGGAATGGGACAGTCTTGAAGGACAGGGTAGAGTTGGAGAAAGTCAAACTGGTATTAAGTGATCATTCAAAGAAAAACAAAAAAATGCAACCCTGAGGTTGAAAAATATAGCATTTTTGCTTCATATCTTATAATAATGTATAAGTAACTCCAGAATACTCAAAAACACAAAATTCACAGGTTAAGCATGTGCTTGAGATTCACAGAGGGCAAATAGTGATTGCTGTATTTGCCTGCATCAGAAAGCACAGAAAAGAAACTAGAAGGAATCCAGAACAGAAACACTTGCCAGCTACCCTTAGTAACTGTAAGGTTGTTCCAGAGATTGGAATGTTGGCAGCAAAGGGCATTGTTAGTTTCCATATGCCATAATATGACTTAAAATTGTATATGCTATTTGTATGTTAATTTTTTATATTTAATCTTCTGGTAAGAGGTCTAAGGAAAATCCATTGATCTCACCTCCTGTGTGTATCAGATTATTTCAGGACTGCTTGAGTATGAGGAGCAAAAGGTGGGAGTTTAGAGTTTTGAGAGGATCTCACCAAAAATAATGTCTTGTGCATATCACTATTACTATGGTTATTATATTGTTATAACTGGTTATTGTTTGAGTTTTGTTTGTTTGTTTGTTTGTTTGTTTGTTTGTTTGTTTTTTAGAACATGAAATGTTCTTCTACTAGCCTGTGAACTTTATGAGATCTGGACTACATCTCCTTTACTCTTCTAATCCATCACCTAGTCTAGTACCTGCGACTCACTTGAAACTCAAAAACATGCTTGTTGATTTGGTGAATGAGGGAATCAAGCTAATTAGTTTATGACCTTTTAGAAAGTTGAACTAACATGTTTGTTAAAAACGTATGAGGACTTCCACTTCAGGAAAATGGAGGGGACACATTTTTTCTTATTCTGCCCACAAAATATAACTAGAAGTCTTATACCCTATGTAGAAAACAAACATGAGAAAACTTTGAAAGGTGGAAAGAAGCTATCCTCTCTGCCATGCCATCCCCTGCCTAGAGATCTCAGGAACCCAAGAAAAGTCACAGCAGTGAGTTCTCTGGGTATTCTTTTTGCTTCATAGATCCCATATAGGGAGCTGAAAAGGCCAGAAACTCAGTAATGACAACAGGCACAGAGAAAAAAAAGCAAAAGCTTTAACCAAAGAACCAGGAGAGGGACAGTCTAACAAAACAGAAAACATTTAGACAATAGCTGTTCCATTCCAGCCAAACACCACAAAAACTGTGTCCCCATCTGTACTCATGTCAGAAAAGGCCAAGTAAGGGACTGAAGTTCTACCCTCCCTGAGCTATAATGAAGCACCCCAATTCTCCTGCTGAGTGGTACCCAAAAACATTGAGTGGAGAGTCTACACTTCCACCCCTACTTCCACCCACAGTAATGAGCTGTCTATCCTCTCCCCACCAGGGTGGTAGAGAGTAGGCCCGATAGAGAGTAAGGACTTTGACCGTTGCCTAGTGGTGACCAGGCCACTGCACTCCATCCCAGGCCCCCTGTGGTCAGGGGAGGCCATCTGGGAGCAGTAACAAGGCACTACTTATTATGCTCACCAGCAAGGGTGACAGCACTGGAGCCTAGTGAGGGGCCTGAACTCCCAACCCCACCAAAAAAGTAAAGACAAACTGGTGGCTCATACATTGCTGGTGGGAATGTAAAATGGTTCAACCACTGTGGAAAACAGTTTGCCCATTTCATTAAAAAACTACACATGCTTCTACCAAACGAACAAGCAATTGTACTTCTGATTATTTATCCCAGGGAAATGAAAACTCATGTTCATGCAAAAAAAAAAAAAATAATAATCCTGTACATGAATGTTTATAGCAGCTTTACCAATAATAGCCAAACTCTGGACACAGTCCACATACCCTTCAATGGGTGAGTGGTTAAATATTCTGGTTGACATTTATACCATGAAATACTACTCAATAAAAAAAAAAAAAAACAGAATAAACTGATACACAGAACAACCTGGATGAATTTCCCCAAAATTATGCTTAGTGCAAAAAGCCAGTTTCAAAGGTTATGTGATAAATGGTCCTATTTGTATAACATTCTTGAAATGACAAAGTTAAAGAAATGGATAGGAGATTAGTGATTACCTGTGGTTAAGGGCTGGGAGTGGGCAAGATGAAAGTGAATGTGCCTATGCAAGGGTAAAGTGGGGCATCCTGGTGGTGATGGAAATGTTTCATACCTTGGCTGTGAAAGGTGTGATGTTGCCATTTAGTGGCGACATCAATGGCAACATCCTGGGTAGTACTATAGTTTTGCAAGATGTTACATTGTAGGAAACTAGGTAAAGTATACATACTATCTTTCTATTACTCTTAGAATTGCATGTGGCAATTATCTCAAAATAAAAAGTTTAATGAAAAAATAATACTCTCTTCCATAGTGGGAAAAGAATATAAGAGACCAGGTTAACCAGAAATGCAACAGTTCACCTTACATGGAGCCTTTGTATTTAGTGCACCTTCCTCAAATCTGGTTGTTATCTTTTAACACCATTTTGTCCTTGGCCACAAGGATATGTCATTATGATTACTTTTGATATTTTTGCCTTATAGAAACTTAAAATTAGTTTTAATATGTTCTCAATTTTCAGAAGAAAAAGGAGCTGAAGATTACATGCACAAAGTCTATATTAACTGGAAATGGAGCTATAATCAAGATTTACAGTTGTGTCAGCACAAAAGAGTGACAAACAGTAGGATATAAAATGCCAAAAACCTTTTGCTGGGAGCATTAAAATCTACTGTAAATCAATTTTTCAATCCAAGATACAACAGTTTTCAACTATTAAAATCTCTAGTCTATACCTCTGTGAAATGGTCTTTCGAATGAGAACTAGAGTTTTTATTGAATTCTCTCATTGAGTTCACGGGGTTATGAGAATTTTTGATAGCTAGTGTCTTGCTCTGGAAATCAAAAGTTCTTGAGTTTTCTACTCTAAGATCTGACATGAACTTGATGGGTAACTTTGAACAAGATATAGTACATCTTTAGCATTTGCTTTTCCTGTCAGGTTTATGAGAATTGCAGATACAAAGTTCCCTTGGTGTCTCTTTTTATCTTTCATTGTCCTCTTGGCCAGGCTGATGAAGAACAAACTGGAAAACAGAGCTGGAGTCGCGGCCTTGGCCAATGTAGAAACAACACAACATGCATCTATTGGGAGAATTGAGCCACAGCCATCATTCAAATGGGAGATAAATCCCTCCTTTCTGTAAAATCTGTTTTAATTTCTTCCCTCTCCTCTTCCTTCAGGTTCCCTCATTTGACACCAGCTCCTGAAGTCTGCAAGGCCCCACAGAACCTGCTCACACAAAGTGGGGAACTGAGTGTCCCGTTTCCTCTGTATCTTCAGAAGGAAGGATGGGTCTGTAGAACATTTTACTATACAATCCACTATTAATTCTCTGATGAGAACATCTCTGAGATCATCGAAACAGGAATTGCCTACACAGGGAAGAAATGTTTTGCCTTAGAAATACTGTACAAGAAGTCTCCAATAAATGCCAAGTGGTCCTGTAAGAAAAAGTTCAGCTGCTCCCTGGAATCCACATACATGTATTAAGGACTTTCCATGTCCAGGTCACGCTTGACTAAAGGAGATATCAGAATATGGCTCACCCTCAATTCCCAAGGGCTCCAGGAATCCTGGCATCTGCTCGGCTTTCCCTTTGCAGTTCTAATAAGCAGGACTTTCAAATGTTGGAAGCTCAAGGTCCTATCAGATGCCTATAAAGAAGAATGGTTTTTAAAACCAGGAGACTTGAACTAAAATCACCATTCTACAGAGTCAAACTAGACTGAGTGAGAAATATCTTTTGAAGAAATGTATCATAAACACCGTTTGCCAGGGATTATGTATTCCAGAAGATAACTATGTACCAACATCTCAGAGATGAGAGGTGTGACTCCACCTCATGTGCTCTACTCTAGAGATGGAGATGAAGGGCACATTGTCAAGGCTATAAAAGGGGCTCAACTTCTTTATTTCTTCCATCATTCATTTTTTCAATAGGCATTATACACACACACACACACACACACACACACAAATTATTCTTACCTTAGAGCAGTGTCTCTGAAGAGTAGTCTATGTGTCATCTTCACCAGAATCACCTGGGGACTAATTAGACATTTCGAGATCCTGGGTCATAGTCTAGATCCACTGAGTAAGATCCGCTAGCTAGAATCCAGAAATCTGAATTTCAGCAAAGCCACTACAGTGATGGTTATGTGTACCAATGTTTGAGAAACACCGTCTTCTAGGTTTTACCTTCTTTATTGATTGCACTCAAGTTCCATCTGTCAATCTTGAAGGTAAATATAGCTTCAGCCTTTTAGGGAGACAGAACTCTTGATTGATATTCCCTTCCTAATACAAATCTCAACAAGATTTAAAATAAATAGAACTATATAAAAAATGTATTAAATTAAGATATTCACACTCAGAGGATTTTTCCATAATCCTCTGTATGATTATTTAGTGAAACTCTAGCCTGAAAATTTAGCTTTCCAATGAGCCATTGGTCTATAAACATTCTTTAAAGAATCTTGGCTTTTCCTTGGTTTTTGCTTTGTGTGCTTTACTAAATGACTTGTCTAGTTAAAGCTGAAAAGTGATGTACGGATTTATTTCCTTCAATCGCGTGATTCATCAAACAATCTGACCATGTGTAGGTATCACAAGCCTTCACAAATGGGATGCGGAGACTCAACTGGGTCAAGACACATTTCTTTTGACGACAGGTTTGAGAAAAAAATCAATTGCTTTGTGAACATCATATTGTTGCTTATACACAGCTTATAGTAATACAGGTGTGAATGCCTCAAAAATAAAACCTACAGATTAAATGTCTCTTTAAATAAATGAGATTTCAAACTACAGAAAAGGCAATGTGACTGTTACAGAATATTGTGTGCCTTAGACAGGTGGAAACATTTTAAGTCATTCTGTATTTACACTATAAATCGCATTGGCACAAATAATGAAAAGTTTTAAAAATTCAGTCTGAACCAATCAACTTCAAGTTCTGTTTGGGGAGAAAGAAAAGACTCTTGAAAATTTTCACCAGTAGTAAAGGTTGGGGAGGGATAACATCCCTATTATAATATAGATGAGAAAATCTTCTAAGATACAAATTATCAATGAAAACATAAGGACTTCTATCCAAAGGAGATTCAAATTTCTTTCAAAATTTTATCTTAAAGTGTTAGTAGGGGTGTGGTCAGCTCCTGTAAAATAAAAAATACATAAAATTCAAAAACACACATAGTAACAAGTATGGGTGGGTAAACAGAGTTAAGCAACAAAGAGAACCTTCAACACATGAAGGTTCCATCTCTGCTCTTGCAATTTTATATAAAGGTACATAGGCATTTGTTGAATTTTTGATAAACAATACAGAAGTTAAATCTTCTCCTGAATGACTTCAGTCTCTTTGCCATAAGGAGTAAATAACTATGAGCTTTGAAAACAAGTTGAGTTTATAGCCCAGCTGGGTCGTCTTTATGGATTTGAGAAAAGTTTTCAACTTTGAAAAATTAGTATTAGATTGAAATGTAGCTTCTGTAAGCACTAAAATGCCTTCTGATGAGTGACATTGCAAATGCAGTTGGCTATATTTATGTGAGGTGGCTTTTCTTTTCACATGTATTATTCTATAAAGAAGTTTAGTAGATTTCTGCTTTTGGGCTTAGCCACATAGGAACAGAGCAATTGAAACTCACTTATTGAGCTTGAATAAGTGAGAATTCTTCCCATAAACATTAAGAATTATTTCAATAATTATATTCAAACAAGAAAAGACATGAACTTAAATGCCACAAAAATAAAATAATTGCTAGCTACATCCTATTAAATAAAGCTATCAATGGTATATGCAGTCATCCTTGTGTATCCAAGGAGACTGGTTCCAGGACCCCTGCTGATACCCAAATCCACAGATGCTTAAGTTTCTGCTAGAAAAGTGCATAGTATTTGCATACAATATACCCACATCCTCCCATATACTTTGTACTTAAATCATTTCCAGATTACTTCTGCTACCTAATACAATATAAATGCCATGTAAGTAGTTGTTATACTATATTGCCTCTGAAATATCTATTTTTTTATTGCTGTGTTATTTATTGGCTTTGTGTTTTTGATCCACATGCGATTGGTTGAATCCAAGGATACAGAACCCACAGATGTGGAGGGCCAACTGTAATTCATTTTACTTCCTCACTTAAAATAGTGCACATAGAATTTCATTTTTATAAACAAATGGTGGCACCACAGGAAGACTCCATGTCATTCCGGGCCCTTGATAGTAATAAAGGCTTCATGCATGGGTATTTTAATGCTGGCTGGAGACTGAATGCAGTCTGATCCACTTCCTAGGGTAGTTTCAAAGTTATTGTCTAACGTTCTGTGAGAAAATGACTGTGGGAACACCAGCGTCCTTGTGGATTGCACAGTCAGGTTTTACCTTTTGAGAATTTGTTATGTTTTTCAATATGCCTTAACTTCCTCTTATTGGCTTTTGATTTCAATTCTCCCCAGGGGGCTGGGAAGCTTATAAGAAGAGCAATATTTATGCAGAAGAATTCAGGAGTGAAGCTTTCAGGGAATGAAATATGTATGCTGGCCAGTGAAAAGGAAACTGCTCATCTTCCCAAGACCCATGAATAATCCCTGTTTACCCCATAATAACCATGAATTTGTCAAATGCACACGCACATACATTCCCTCAAGTATTCTCGGGGATTTTGATTGAGGGACCCAGTGCTACCATCTTGTTGGAAAAACTAAACAATATGATTTGTGTTTCAAAACAGTTTTGATAGCCTAGAATTATCAAAATTAAGGATGGCGAAAAATCTGGTAATTAACAGCAATTTATTTTATCACCACAGAAATGGCATGATACAAACAGCAGTGACCTATAATTTCCCTCACATGAGATTTGCATATATTATCACTCTATTTGTAATTACCCCAACAGTCACCCAAAATATCGCTTATCATTTGCTCATAAGATGTCAAGGATGTTAAAGTGGACTGGATCGCCTTATTTTCCAGAGCTATTGAACAAAAGGTCATTGTGAAAGAGAAAGCTAAACATGATGTGACAAGTACAGCGAAAAGGTAATTAGCGCCATTATCTCTTTTTTGCTAACTCTTTGGTAATAGAAAAGTATGTATATATGCAGAATTTTTTTAAAAGCTAATTTATTTTGCTTTTGTGTTGTCTCCACTGTAATTAAAACTGGAATTAAATAGCAGAGGGTTAAAAAGTTAAACAAAATAAACAATAACTGAATTCTAATGGAGTTTTATTCCTCCCTGGACCCATGCCTGGAGTTTTCATTGTTGCGGAGGCGATTTGTGAATGAACACCTTGCTGCCAGGGATGGATGCTTTCTTTGGAGCCTTCAGAACTCAGATTTCTAACTTCTCCAAGGACACTGCACTTCCTGGTTTCTTATAAAGTAGCTGTTCCCTCTCTCTCTTCCTACAGAGTAACTAACAGAGTCCAGGACTAGCATGTGCTTGAGGCAAAACTTTAATGCCTAATGCTACACGTCCTTATGCTATGCACATCTCTAGAGCATCTGTCCTGCTAACATTAAAAGAATATCAGAACCATCCCCTTATATGTTTATCGAACATCAGAGTTTGTAAAGCCCCTTCATATATGTTTTTATGACATTTGACAGATAGCACATACGAACCCTACAAGGTAGCATGTGTGTTATATGTCCACTTTAGAGGCGAGGAAACCTGAAACTCAACCTACATGATTTGCACAAGATAAGAGCCAGGAAGGGGTGGACCTTGGTGTAAGTTTGTGAACAGCTACGTTCACCATTTTATGGATTTTATTTGTCTGCAATATTTGTTTTATCAGACTATTGAGTTTAAAGAAAAAGAAATTTGAATGGATAAGATTCTTTGTAGACTGAAGAAGTTCTTTTCATCATAATGAAGATAATATGACTTCCACACATAAAAACATAGACATCACTATTTACAGAAAGTTAATTAAATATTGCAAAAATTAAGGTACATTAACCTTAGTTTTGTTTGCTCATATTCTTAATATAATACAGCCAGTACATTTGTGTTTATTTATTTTTTGGTTAGTTGCTTCACTTTTTAAAAAGAAATATTTTACATGGCAAAACAAATCAAACAATATATAAAAGCTAAACAAAAAATAAGTTTCTTTTCTACCCTCATTCCACTCTCATCAGACCAGTATTGATCATATGATCAGTTACTGATTATATTCCAGCAGAATAAGACTATACACCCATCCTCTCCCCCCCACACACATTGTCTGCACACATGGATGGTATAGTTTTATTTTAAACAAAAGGTAGAACACTGAACACTGTTTTCTTTACCGTGTTTTTTTTCACATAATAATATAACCTAGATATTTTTATATGTCATATATTTGCTTCATTCTTTTAAGTAATGGAAGATTTCCATTTTATGGCCATACCATGCTTTATTTAACCTCTGTCCAACAAAGAAACATTTGTGGTATTTCTGTGATTACATAATTATAAATAACATATTAATAAATATCCTTATATAGATATCTTTGTGGAAGTATGAAGATATCTTAGAATTACTCTATTGAATTATATTTATCTTTTAAGTAAATGTTCATAAAGCTGTGAATACAAAGAAATGTGACTTTGAAATATATCCTTTATTTATTGAGACTTCTTTGAAATTGGTAGGAAATACAGTGTAAAAGAAAATTTCCAGGGAGAAATGAGATTCAGGATATTGATAATTTATCAGAGACTATACTACATTAATAAGTGAAACTTATCACTTTATAATTTCACTTTTTATTTTCTATTGATAGATAATATCTGAAAAATGATGTTGAAGTTTTATTAGTTATTTCATATACATAATTTCTAATTGTTTTGTTAAATATTAAGAAGTACAAAAAAGAAACAAAATTTACCACATAGACTTCACTGCTAAATAAAAAATTAGTATATGTATATAGTTTGTAAAATCAAACACACACACACACATAAACACCAAGTAATACCTTTGTCTTCCACAGACATGTCCTTCCATAGGATCATCTCTGAAAAATAATAAGCACTGTTTGATTCTTATAATTCCTTCTAAGCAAAATGGAAAAGAATATATATACAAATTATATATGTATACTATGTATACACATACATATCTTTGATAAAAATAAAAATGTTTTCACAATTCATATTCCTGACAATGAAGTATGAACACACACATTTCTCCAAATACTCATTAGCACTTGACATAATCAAATTTTGTATTTTGGGAATAGAAAAAAAATGACATTTTCTTTTAATTTGTAATTAATCATGAGTGAGTTTGAAATTGCCCTTTTAAATTTTTTCTAAATTCCCAATTTAAAACATCTCACAATTCTCTTTTGAGTTGTTCATATTTTTAGTTATGAATTTGTTTTTTCTGAAGTTCTTTGTCATCCGAAATTAAGATTTGTCCCTTCTTCCTTCTAGAACTTCATTTCTTTTCAAATGTTTTTCCACTTGGAATTTACGTTGGTATAGGAGGGAGGTAAGAATGTTGCCTATTTCTCCCCTCCCCACCCCAGCGTGTAACGCCTTACAACCAGATCATTGATTAATATTCCTCTTTTCTGATAAACCTGAAGTGGCACCTATACTGCAAACTATATTCCCACATGTATTTGGGACTGTGTCTGAACTTTCCATCATAGACATTTCCAGTATCTTTTGGGTGCACAGAAGCCAGTGCTTCTCAGCCTCCTTGCAGGGAGGCAAGGCCATTTTTTTTTTTAATCTTCAT